GCGCGTGCCTCTAATCCCAGCTACTCAGGAGGCCGAGGCAGGAGAATTGCCTGAATCCAGGAGGCGGAGGTTGCGGTGAGCCAAGATCGCGCCATTGCACTCCAGCCTGGGTGACAAGAGTGAAACTCTGTCTCAAAAATAAAATAAAATAAAATAAAATAAATAAATAAAAATAAATAATTAATAAAAGCCAGTCAAATTTAGCAGTGGGGGGTTGAGTTAGTTCTTCACTTTGTGTGATAAAATTTGACAGTTCTTTTCCTTGTAATTATATTGTTCCTTTCCACATTTTGAACTCTATCTCCTTAAACCTTCCTCTTTCTTTTTTCTTTTTTTATATTTTGTTCTTTTTTTATCTCCTTAAACCTCCCGTATACTTTAAGGCCCCCATATCTCTTAGCTCCCAAAGTTTGAAAAATATTTAGTGCTATTCTTTATTGTATTTCTAAGGATTTTAGAAAATAAGCTGTTTATGTGGAATTTATTTCAAAATGGGAAGTGAAATAAGAACATAAATTGGGCCAGGCACCATGGCTCTCGCTTGTAATCCCAACATTTTGGGAGGCTGAGGCAGGAGGATTGCTTTAGCCCGGGAGTTTGAGACCAGCCTAGGCAATATAGCAAGCACACTGTTTCTAAGATACGTATATATTTCCCCTATTCTTTTTTTTTTTTTTTGAAACAGAATCTTACTCCGTCTCCCAGGCTGGAGTGCAGTGGTGTAATCACGGGTTACTGTAACCTCTGCCTGCCGGGTTCTAAGTTCTTAAACACTTAAGAATCACTTCTAAACCTTCAAAGTAGCTGGGATTGCAGGCATGAGCCACCACGCCCAGCTAATTTTTGTCGGTTTTTTTTTTTTTTTTTTGGTAAAGATGGGGTTTCACCATGATGGCCAGGCTGGTCTTGAACTCCTGACCTCAGGTGATCCACCCACCTCAGCCTCCCGAAGTGCTAGGATTACAGGCATGAGCCACCGCGCCCGGCTAATTTTTGTATTCTTTGTAGAGACGGAGGTCTCACTATTTTGCCAAGGCTGGCCTTGAATGCCTGGGCTCAAATGATCCTCCTACCTCAGCCTCCCAAAGTGCTGGAATTACAGGATGCAGCCATCAGGCCTGGCCCTGTTTCGTCTATACACATAACAGACTTTCATAACTGAACTTATTAACCTTAAAAAATTATAACTCTGTATCATGTATCATTAAACACTTAATTTTCCTTACTCATCCAGACTCTTGCAATGCAATGTTCTTGTGAATTTTCCTATATTCATTCTTGCTCTCCTTCTCTTACATGTTTTACATCGATAACTGTTTTTCTCCGCTTTTTTCTTTTTCTCACTTCTCTCTTTCCTTCCCCTCGCCCCTCTTTTTTATTTTTCTTTTGTCACGGATTGTTCTGTTGTCCAGGCTGAAGTGCAGTGGCCCATCTTGGCTTATTGCAACCTCCACCTCCCTGGTTCAAGGGATTCTCCCACACTGCCTTCCCAAGTAGCTGGGATTACAGGCACATGCCATCACGCCTAGCTGATTTTTGTAATTTTAGTAGAGACAGGGTTTTACCACAATGACCAGGCTGGTCTCAAACTCCTGGCCTCAAGCAATCCGACTCTCCATCAGCCTCCCAAAGTGCTGGGATTACAGGCATGAGCCACCTCGCCCAGCCCTTGTATATTTCTTTTCTTTTTTTTTTTTTTTTTATTTTTGAGACGGAGCTTCGCTCTTGTTACCCAGGCTGGAGTGCAATGGCACCATCTCGGCTCACCGCAACCTCCGCCTCCTGGGTTCAGGCAATTCTCCTGCCTCAGCCTCCCAAGTAGCTGGGACTACAGGCGCATGCCACCATGCCCGGCTAATTTTTGTATTTTTAGCAGAGACAGTGTTTCACCTTGTTGACCAGGATGGTCTCAATCTCTTGACCTCGTGATTCACCCGCCTCGGCCTCCCAAAGTGCTGGGAGTATAGGCATGAGCCACTATGCCCGGCCGCCCTTGTATATTTCTAGAGTAAATTTTTTGTTTTGTTTTTGTTTTTGAAACAGTTTCACTCTTGTCACCCAGGCTGGAGTGCAATAGCATGATCTCCGCTCACTATAACCTCTGCCTCCTGGGTTCAATCGAGTCTCCTGCCTTAGCCTCCCAAGTAGCTGAAACTACAGGCAAGCACCACCATGCCTGGCTGATTTTTGTATTTTTAGTAGACACGAGGTTTCACCATGTTGGCCGGGCTGGTCTGTAACTCCTGACCTCAGACGATCTACCCACTTCAGCCTCCCAAAATGCTGGGAGTATAGGCATGAGCCACCATGCCTGGTCTATAAAGCAAGTTTATAAAGATATGTCTTGATTTTTTTCAGTTTAAACATTTTTTTTCTTGACTTCTAACTTGCAGATGTGGCTTTTTTCCTCTTCCTTATCATGCATTAACATATTTCAAATTTGGTTGCTCATCCTCCTAATTTGGTTTTTTTTTTTTTGAGGCAGAGTTTCTCTCTTGTTGCTCAGACTATAGTGCAATGGCACAATCTTGGCTAACTGCAAACTCCGCCTCCCAGGTTCAAGCTATTCTCCTGCCTCAGCCTCCCAAGTAGCTGGGATTACAGTCATGCGCCACCATGCCCCTCTAATTTTGTATTTTTAGTCGAGACAGGGTTTTACCATGTCGGTCAGGCTGGTCTTGAACTCCCAACCTTGGGTGATCTGTCAATCTCAGCCTCCCAAAGTGCTGGGATTACACGTGTGACCCACCACGCCCGGCCTTTTATTTTGTTTGTGAGACTTAGTCTTGCTCTGTCACCTACGCTGGAGTCCAGTGGCACCATCTTGGCTCACTGCAACCTCCACCTCTCGGGTTCAAGGGATTCTCCTGCCCCAGCCTCTTGGGTAGCTGGGATTGCAGGTGCTCCCCACCATGCCTGGCTAATCATTGTTTTTAGTGGAGACAATGTTTTACCGTGTTAGCCACACTAGTCTTGTACTCCTAACTTCAAGAGATCTGCTTGCCTCAGCCTCCCAAAGTGCTGGGATTACAGACATGAGCCACTGCACCTGGCACAGTTTTTTTGCATTTTTGGTAGAGAAGGGGTTTTGCCATGTTGCCTAGGCTGGTCTTAAACTCCTGAGCCCAGGCGATCCACCTACTTTAGCCTCCCAAAGTGCTGGGATTACAGGCATGAGCCACTAAATGCCCAGCCTTGGTTTCTTATAAATTAGAGTCTATTTCAGCCCTTTTTGTTGTCTCACCTCCTAATCCTAAACCCCCTTCAATGGGATTAAATTTATCTCTCCAGTGGAATTCCTGGAGACTGATATGAGAGAGATTTCCAAGGCAAGAGGGAGATCAGCCAAGAGCAGGTCAACCAGAGTGGAAAGTTCATAGTGCCGTAAAGTAGGGCTGCTTAACTTTAGCACTCATCAGAATCACCAGGGGCTCGCTTCAGTCTTCTGGCGAAAATCAAGGGCAGAATTGCCTGGGAGGCTTGTTAAAGCATTGACTGCTGGGCCCCACCCTTTGATTGAGTAGGGCTGGGTGGGAGCTCAGGATTTGTCTATCTAAGTTAACCAGGTGCTTGTTGGAGACCACCGTTTTTTTTTTTTTTTTTTTTTTTTTAAAGACGGGGTTTCACCATGTTGGTCAGGCTGGTCTTGAACACCCTACCTCAGGTGATCTGCCCGCCTTGGCCTCCAAAGTGCTTGGATTACAAGGTGTGAGCCACCACACCCGGCCACAGATTTTTTTTTTTAAAGGGGCAGGGTCCTGTCCTGTCTGTCAGGCTGGATTGGAGTGCAGTGGCATGATCATAGGTCACTACAGCCTTTAACTCCTGGGTGATTTCGGAGACCACACTTTTGAGAATCACTTGCATAAAGTGTTGGGACATGATCTATGTCTATGGCTGCTCATTATGAAAAAAATTTTAATTATTATTTTTTTTTTACTTTTTTTTTAAAAAAATGGGCAGATCACTTGAGGCCAGGAGTTCGAGAGCGGCCTGGCCAACAGGGTGAAACCCCGTCTCTACTAAAAATACAAAAATTAGCCGGGCCTATGAAAAAAAAAATATATATATTTTTTCTTAAGACAGGGTTTCACCATGTTGGTCAGGCTGGTCTTGAACTCCCGACCTCAGGTGATCCACCCGCCTTGGCCTCCAAAGTGCTTGGATTACAGGCGTGAGCCACCACACCCGGCCGAAAATATTTCTTAATCATAACTTCCAATTTTCGCTTTTTACCAAACGCAAACAAGATTGCCTATGACTATTTTCTCCTGGTTTCCACCTAAAGAGAGAACCGGGAAGGGTGCATATTTGAATAAGAGGGAAAAAGATGAGAAGGGCAGCTGGCGACTTGTTCTTCCACTTCCTGCAGACAATCAGTGGTTAAATGTTGGTGTGCTTTGCTACAATTTACAAGCATTTTCTTGTGGGGGGGGAGTAGCAATTTGTAAATTCAGTTAATTTCAGCTGCTCGGAAATGTTAGGTACTGTGAAGATTATATAGTTTAGAAAACGAACAAATCAGTAATACATGTCCCTAAAATATCAAGCTATTTAAGTGTTCATAACAGATACTTGTTCATTTTTCCTCTCTTCTTCCTTTGTAGCAGCAAAGGTTTAAGACGATTTAGATAAGGAAAACTTTAAGATACCTTTCTCAATTACCTTAATTGGGAGTTTATGGGCAGCCGTGGGGGTGGGGGTGGGTAAAAACTGCCATTCTCCCTGCACTAGACACTTAAGCCCAGTTCGGCCGGGCTCGGTGGCTCAAGACTGTAATCCCAGCATTTTGGGAGGCCAAGGCGGGTGGATCACGAGGTCAAGAGATCGAGACCATCCTGGTCAACATGGTCAAACCCCGTCTCTACTAAAAATACAAAAAATTAGCTGGGCATGGTGGCGCGTGCCTGTAATCCCAGCTACTCAGGAGGCTGAGGCAGGAGAATTACATGAACCCAGGAGGCGGAGGTTGCGGTGAGCCGAGATCACGCCATTGCACTCCGGCCTGGGTAACAAGAGCGAAACTCCATCTCAAAAAAAAAAAAACAAAAAATGAACCTAGTTCACAAAACAGAAGCCATCTCCAGGAGTAGAGTTTGGGAAAACAAAAAACAAGAAAATACTAACTTAAATGTAAGGCAGCCTTAGGGAGACAGAGCCAGAAAAGAGGCTTTTTATACATTTTCTAGCTGATATGCCGTAGACATTATTTTAATGCAAATCAGATGAAGAACTACCCTAGCAGTCTAAACTACACCCATTAGCCTTTAATCATTTGGATCCTTTAATCCTCTAATCATTGGATCATTAACATTCAAATATCCTGGAAGATTGGCTTGTCTGCTTTTTAACAGGAAGCCTAACGTATATTTCACGTCGGTTTAAGTCGGTTCTGCCACCATTCCTTGGAGCTCTGGTTTTCAGCTTCTTTCCAGGCTACCTTGTAGCAATTTGAATTTGCCGGTCATCAGTTTCTGCTGTGTTTCAAAGATCCGGGAGAAGCTTAGTGTTGTGTCAAGACGAAAATGGACCCAACACAGAAGTTTAATCTAACCTTCATCCCCGAGTCTTCACAAATGGTCACCGGAGAAACTTACCAGGACGACTCAGGTAACTTAATGCCTTTCTTGACTATATGAGTAAAGGGGGCTGGGGAAGTCAAAAGCCTGCCGTCCTTCTAAAAAAAAAGTATATTCACTTCAGCCTTTGCAAGAGGAATGTATCTAAGTAAACCTCAAATCAGAGGGAGTGCAAGCAACTTCCTCCATTAAAAAAACAGAGGTCAGAGACTATTAAAAGGGGTGGTGGTGGTGAGAGTTGTATTATTTTATTCACTATGCTTAGGAATACTTCAGATTTTTTTTTTTTTTATGAGACGGAATTATACTCTTTTCGCCCAGGCTGGAGTGCAATGGTGATCCGCCCGCTTCCGCCTCCAAAGTGCTGGGATTATAGGCGTGAGCCACCGCACCCCGCCAGTACTTTATTTTTTTGAGGCATGGGTCACCCCATTGCCCAGGTGGTATCAAGCACCTAGCTTTAGGCCATCCTCTTGCGTAGCTGGGACTGCAGGCATGCACCACCGCGTCTCGGCGCTAAGGCAATATTTTTGAGACTGGCTTTCCAGCTAAATGTATCCTTCGGGAAGGTTAATAAACAACACTAACGCGGCCTTAGCCTTTACCCGGGAAATGGAAGGGCGACGCCGTAAATGTAAATGTGCTCTGTAATGTAAATTAGTAGCAGGAGCTACACCGGAGGGCGGCTTGCCTAGAAATAGCTTGGGTCGACGGGGCACGGTGGCTCACGCCTGTAATCCCAGCACTTTGGGAAGCCGAGGAGGGTGGATCACGAGGTCAAGAGATGGAGACCATCCTGGTCACCGTGGTGAAACCCCGTCTCTAATTAAAATACAAAAAATTAGTTGGGCGTGGTGGCGCGTGCCTGTAATCCCAGCTACTCAGGAGGCTGAGGCAGGAGAATTGCCTGAACCCAGGAGGCGGAGGTTGCGGTGAGCTGAGATTCCACCATTGCACTCCAGCCTGGATAACAAGAGCGAAACTCCGTCTCAAAATAATAATAATAATAATAATAATTAGCCGGGCTCGGTGGCGGGCGCCTGTAATCCCAGCTACTCGGAAGGCTGAGGCAGGAGATTTGCCCGAACCCAGAGGCGGATGTTGCAGTGAGCCGAAATCGCGCCACTGCACTCCAGCCTAGGCAATAGAGCGAGACTCCATCTCAAAAATAAACTGGATGATTCTGGTTCTTAGGCCGGATCCTCTGGTAGAGGAACTCTTTGTCTTATAGCAGCACCCAAGTTCGGGCTTGGGCACAGAGGCCCTCCACGTGGTTTGAAGTCTTATTTACGTCCCTAATGGCTGGTCGTGGAATTATGTGCACAGGTCCCTAGACTGAGAATCAATCCTGAAATTTTATATTGTTTACTACTTTAATTTACAGGGGGCAAAACCAAACCAAAATGAAACACACAGAAGGGGCAAGAGAATGCTGGGGGCTGGAAGTTGCAATGAGCCGAGATCCCACCATTGCACTCCAGCCTGAGCAAAAGGGCGAGGCTCCATCTCAAAAAACAAAAGTTAAGGGTGTGTGTGTGTGTGTTTTGAAAAGTTTGTGATTGGAGAAAATTCTCATTAATTAGGACCCAAGTTTAGTTAAACCCGTGTTGTTCAAGGGCCAACTGTGTTGCCATGTGCCCCTGTACAAAGCGATTTCTTTTTGCCTTGACTTTGCTCTTCCCCGCCACCCCAGACAGTCTCATACTGTCGCCCGTGGCTGGCGAATGGTGACATGGTCTCAGTGCATCCTCCGCCTCCTGGGTTCAAGCAATTCTCCTGCCTCAGCCTCCCGAGTGCTGGGACTACAGGCGTGGGCCACCACCACGCCCACCTAATTTTTTTATTTTTAGTAGACACAGATGCAATCAATATTGGCCAGGCTGGTCTCGAACTCCTGATTTCCAACTTCACCCACCTGGCCTCCCAAAGTGCTGGGATTATAGGCCTGAGCCACCGTACCCCGCCAACTTTACTCTTTTTGAGAAAAGACTAGAGGTCGTGCATTGTTTCCTGTGACCTTCCACCCTGAGAAATTTCCCACAGTCCCCTGTTCACCTGCTTATGGGCAGACTTAGTTGAAGTGTGAATGTTGAGGATCTCCTTAATGTAATGGATTTTAACCTTCTCTTTCAGGGGCCTCTCAAAACTTCTCAGAGACATTGATAAAGAACCTTAGTAAGCTGACTCTCAACGCCAGTACTGAATTCCCTTCCCCTCTACCAGAGGGTTCACTCCAGCAGTCTGCAGGAGCAGCAATCCTCAGGGAAATCGGAGATGACTTGCCTTACAGGAGGAGAGGAGTAAGAACATTGCTGTCTGTGAAGAGAGAAAGGCTGGCAAGATTGAGATACATGTTACTTGGTAGAGGTCCCAGGGTATGTTGATGTGATGTGGGTGGGGCTCCCCAATTTCAGGTAGTGACACTTAGAAATTAGACCTAATTAAGACTCCTCAGCTCTAGGCCAGTGGCTGACTCCTGTAATCCCAGCACTTTGGAAGGCTGAGGTGGGAGGATCATGTTCAGGAGGTCAAGACCAGCCTAGGCAACATAAAAAATTAATAAAAATTAGCTGTCTGCACAGAAAAATAAAATTAGCTGGGTGTAGTGGTGCATGCCTGTAAGTCCCAGCTGCTGGCGGGCAGGTGGCTGAGGGCGGAGACAGCTAAATGGCTTGAGCCTGGGAGGTTGAGGCTGCAGTGAGAGCCATGAGTGCTCCACTGCACTCCACCCTGGGCAACAGAGAAAGGCCCTGTCTCAAAACAAACTCCCCAGCTTCTCTCCCTTATATATATCTGTAATATTAGTAATATTTTTCTTGATAGAGTTTTCGGGCCGGGTGCGGTGGCTCAAGCCTGTAATCCCAGCACTTTGGGAGGCCGAGGTGGGTGGATCACGAGGTCAAGAGACCGAGACCATCCTGGTCAACATGGTGAAACCCCGTCTCTACTAAAAATACAAAAAATGAGCTGGGCATGGTGGCGCGTGCCTGTAATCCCAGCTACTCCGGAGGCTGAGGCAGGAGAATTGGCTGAACCCAGGAGGCGGAGGTTGCAGTGAGCCGAGATCGCGCCATTGCACTCCAGCCTGAGTAACAAGAGCGAAACACTGTCTCAAAAAAAAAAAAAAAAACAATGTCTGTACACATGCAGCCCAAATATAAGCTTAAAGTTTATTTCTAACTACAGAGCTTTTAAAAGAATAATCTCTTAGGCCGGGCGCGGTGGCTCACGCCTGTAATCCCAGCACTTTGGGAAGCCGAGGGGGGTGGATCACGAGGTCAAGAGACCGAGACCATCCTGGTCAACATGGTCAAACCCCGTCTCTACTAAAAATACAAAAAATTAGCTGGGCATGGTGGCGCGTGCCTGTAGTCCCAGCTACTCAGGAGGCTGAGGCAGAAGAATTGCCTGAACCCAGGAGGCTGAGGTTGGGGTGAGCCGAGATCACGCCATTGCACCTGAACCTGGGTAACAAGAACAAAACTCCGTCTCCAAAAAAAAAAAAGTTTTCAATAAACATATTTTTTTCTTTCCAAAGCAGCCTGAAAGACCGCTGATGAACACTGGGCTTAAGGGAGTTAAGGTAAATATAATTTTTTTTTTTGCTTTACATGTAGTTGTGTATCTGGTTGTTTTTGTTTGAGATGGAGTTTCACTCTTGTTACCCAGGCTGGAGTGCAGTGGTGCCATCTCTGCTCACTGCAACCTCCGCCTCCTGGGTTCAAGCAATTCCCCTGCCTCAGCCTCCCGAGTAGCTGGGACTGCAGGCATGTGTCACCATGCCCAGGTAATTTTGTATTTTTAGTAGAAACAGGGTTTCACCATGTTGACCAGGATGGTCTTGATCTCTTGACGTCTCGTGATCCACCCGCCTGGGCCTCCCAAACTGCTGGGATTACAGGCGTGAGCCACTGCACCCAGCCCTGGTTGTTTTTTTTTTTTTTTTTTTGTCTTTAGAGATGAGGAATAGCGGCCAGGCTCGGTGGTTCACACCTATAATCCCAGCACTTTGGGAGGCCGAGATGGGTGGATCACGAGGTCAAGAGATCGAGACCATCCTGGTCAACATGGTGAAACCCTGTGTCTACTAAAAAATACAAAAATTAGCTGGGCATGGTGGCACACGCCTGTAGTCCCAGCTACTTGGGAGACTGAGGCAGAATTGCTTGAACCCAGGAGGCGGAGGTTGCGGTGAGCCGAGATCGCACCATTGCAGCCTGGGTAACTAGCGAAACTCCGTCTCAAAAAAAAAGAAAAAAAAAAGTTTTCAATAAACATATTTTTTTCTTTCCAAAGCAGCCTGAAAGAACACTAAAGAACACTGTGCTTAAGGGAATGAAGGTAAGTATATATATATATATATATATATATTTTTTTTTTTTTTGCTTTACATGTGGTCGTGTATCTTTTTTTTTTTTTTTTTGGAGACCGAGTTTCACTCTTGTTACCCAGGCTGGGGTGCAATGGTGCGATCTCGGCTCGCTGCAACCCCTCCGCCTCCTGGGTTCAGGCAATTCTCCTGCCTCAGCCTCCCTAGTAGCTGGGGCTACAGGCATGTGCCACCATGCCCAGGTAATTTTTGTATTTTTAGTAGAGTCAGGGTTTCACTTTGTTGACCAGGATGGTCTCGATCTCTTGACCTCGTGAGCCACCGCGCCCAGCCCTGGTTATTTTATTTATTTATTTATTTTTTCATCTTTTTAAAGATGAGGAATAGCGGCCAGGCGCGGTGGCTCACGCCTATAATCCCAGTGCTTTGGGAGGCCGAGGCGGATGAAGTCAAGAGATCGAGACCATCCTGGTCAACATGGTGAAACCCCGTCTCTACTAAAATTATAAAAATTAGCTGGGCATGGTGGCACATGCTTGTAGTCCCAGCTACCTGGGAGGCTGAGGCAGGAGAATTGCCTGAACCCAGGAGGCGGAGGGGTTGCAGCGAGCCGAGATCGCGCCATTGCACTCCAGCCTGGGTAACGAGCGAAACTGTCTCCAAAAAAAAGAAAGAGATGAGGAATAAGGAATTTTCTTGGACCTGCTGAATCCCTAGAAACTCTGGAGGAGTCAGTTCCATGTTTGTACGTGGTGGCGCATGCTTGTGATCCCAGCACTTTGGGTGGTCGAGGCAAGTGGATCTCCTGAACTCAGACTCTCTTGGGGAGTTCAAGACCAGCCTCACCAACATGGGGAAACCCTGTCTCTACTAAATAGAAAATTAGCTGGGCTTAGTGGCACATGCCTGTAATCTCAGCTACTTGGGAGGCTGAGGCAGGAGAATCACTTGAACCCAGGAAGTGGAGGTTGCAGTGAGCTAAGATCATGCCACTGCACTCCAGCCTGGGTGACAGCGAAACTCCTTCTAAGGGAAAAAAATATATATGTATTTTTAGAGCAGTTTTATGTTCATAGCAATACTGAACAGAAAGTATAGAGTTCCAATATATGCCCTTCCCCCCACACATGCCACCTCTACCAATCAACATCACACATAGTTTACCCTAGGGGTCACTCCTAGGTGTTAGGTTGATACTTTTTCACATGCTGTTACAAACATCTTCACTGTAACCTGTGTAGTAAGAGAACAAACACTTCAGCAGCAGAATGAGTTGCATTTAAGGCATTCAGGGAACTGAGACTAGAACGTTTTATTGACAAGCTGCACTTGGTACCACTACAAAGTTACTCTCAGGCTGCCATTCTGTAGTACCCATATCCCCATCCTCCTTTTTTTTCCTCCTAAAATGTTTTTCTTTTGGCCCCATGCCCTTTTTTGTGTGTTCCCTGTTCCAACATTTACCTAAACAAACATTATATTTGAGGGTTAATTACATTTCTCTTGGGTACAATATTCCAATTAATTCATTTCATCATTTTTTCAGAATGCATCAAGAAGAGGAATGTTCAAATGTCCCTGCAGTTTCTGCAAGTCTAGCGGATGGGATCCTTCTGAGAATGCCAGAATGGGGAATTACGACACCAAGCCACTTCAGCCATAAACCTTATTCTTGCCCCTTTTTTTTCTTGCTGGTAATTTTTTATAGCAGACCGAGAAAGCTACTCTCTGCTCATATGGATTATATATCAATAATTTTGATAAACGAGTTCAAGGTTGTATTTTTCTTGTATCTTTTTCCCTACTATGATGCTAGTAATTTATAAGGGATCTGTGTAGTTTGAATATATTTGGATAACTTTAGCTGTACTGTTTGGTTTGTCCCAAAGAAGCCAAGAGCATGTAAATATTCCCATGTGTTTCAGAAGCCCAAAGTCAGTGAGGTGAAACCCAGCAACAAGACACTGAAGCAAAGATACTTGTGAATAAAGAAAGCATTAGCTAGTTTGGTTAGAGCATAATAATTAGATTTTCTGGCTTTCAAAAATTTGGGTTGCGGTAAGAGCAAAGTTTGTGCTATTTTTACAGTTTTCAGTACAAAAAGGTGTTAATATAGAAACAATAAAGTTGACATTAGATTACCTTTTAAAAATAGTTTTTGATTTTATAGTTGTTCTTGCTAACAATTAGGTGAACAATAGTTTTATCATTACGGTCCCAGAATGTAAGTATATGGCATTCTAATATTGTGTGATATATTCCCGCTGGGAGGAAACTTCATTGTACATTTGAGTGAATGGAAAATACAGGCACAGATATTTGCAATTGTCAACTTCCCATAAGACGTGAAAATTGGACGAAGGTAGAAGTGGAGCTTACTGGGTTATGATGGGAAATATGCAGAGGTCCTCATACCCACCAAGGAATTCCTGTTTTGTGTTTTGAGGCAGTTTGCTCTTGTCGCCCAGGCTGGAGTGCAGCGGCACAACCTCAGCTCTCCGCAACCTCTGCCTCCTGGGTTCAAGCGATTCTCTTGCCTTAGCCTCCTGAGTAGCTGGAATTACAGGCATGTGCTACCACGCCCAGCTAACTTTTTGTATTTTAGTAAAGACAGGATTTTACCATGTTGGCCAGGCTGGTCTTGAATTCCTGATTTAAGGCACCTGCCCTCCTCCCAAAGTGCTGGGATTGCAGCTGTAAAGCCACAACCCCTGGCCTCCGAGCAAGCACTTCTGCAGTAGATGCCAGATGGGTGTCTAATTTGATTTTAGCACCATCTACCTGGAGGTAGCTCCAGGTCCTACAGGTTGAAGGCTGTCCCACAAGACTGTCCACCTCTAACCCAGTCACAAGCTTCAGGTTGTCTTACCTGTGCTTTTGACTGACCAGCTGAAAATCAGGATTTCCTCAACCCCCTGCCTGATTTACTGGCTCATAGAACTCAGGGAAACACCTTCGTTGTTATTATTATTTTTTTTTGAGACAGTTTTGCTGTTACCCAGGCTGGAGTACAATGGCGCGATCCGGGTTCACCGCAACCTCTGCCTCCTGGGTTCAGGCAATTCTCCTGCCTCAGCCTCCTGAGTAGCTGGGATTACAGGCACACACCACCATGCCCAGCTAATTTTTTGTATTTTTGTAGAGATGGGGTTTCACCATGTTGACCAGGATGGTCTGGATCTCTTGACCTCGTGATCCCCCCCGCTCTGGCCTCCCAAAGTGCTGGGATTACAGGCTTGAGCCACCGTGCCCGGCCATACCTTAGTTATTCTGAAGGATATTACAAAGGATACAGATGAACAACCAGATGGAAGAGGTGTATAGGACAAGGTAAAGGAAAAAAGGCAGGCAGGATGAACCGCCCTTAAGGAGTGTGTGTAGCTTCTAGAAGCCCTCAGAACTGAGTCCTTTTGTGTTTCTGTGGAAGCATCCTTAGGGTTGATTACATCGCTGGCCATTGGTTTACCAATTTAGCCTTCAGCCGCTGTCCCTTCCCCAGGAGGTCCTGGAATGGGAGTGAAAGTTTCAACCCTCCAATCACTTCCTGGCGGCCGGCTCACATCCTGAGCCTGCCTGGAGCCCCCAGACAGCAGTCACCATTAGCATACAAAGGTTAACAGCTCCAGTGATTTCAAAGATTTTAGGAGCTATATGACAGGAAATGGTGACCAAAAACGCTTCATATCACAGGGAGAATTGGAAAGGATATCTGCATGGTATAACACAAGAAGATGCCATCTGGTGGCTTCTGTTTGTTTTTGAGATGGGGTCTCACTTTTCCCAGGCTGGAGTGCAGGACCACACTGCCCAGTTTGGTCCTCAGAAGTTACCTCATCGGGGTGGGTGCGGTGGCTAACGCCTGTAATCCCAGCACTTTGGGAGGCCGAGGCGGGCAGATCACGAGGTCAAGAGATTGAGACCATCCTGGCCAACATGGTGAAACCCCGTCTCTACTAAAAATACAAAAAAAAAAAAAAAAAAAAATAGGCATGGTAGCACGTTCCTGTGGTCCTAGCTACTCAGGAGGCTGAAATGGAAGAATTGCTTGAATCCAGGAGGCAGAGGTTGCAGTGAGCCAAGATTGCACCACTGCACTCCAGCCTGGTGACAGAGCAAGACTGTCTCAAAAAAAAAAAAAAGTTACCTGATAGAAGAACTAAATCTAACACGGCTTACCAGCAAGGACAGACGGGTTAGGCTCACCAGCAAGGACAGACAGACGGGTTAGGCTCACCAGCAAGGACAGACAGACGGGTTAGGCTCACCAGCAAGGACAGACAGACGGGTTAGGCTCACCAGCAAGGACAGACGGGTTAGGCTCACCAGCAAGGACAGACGGGTTAGGCTTGAGCATTTGTTGTAACTTCAAGTCATTTCTAGTAACAAAGCTAACTTACTAATTTTCTGTATGAACCTGAGAATCACTGATTAGTTAAAAAAGGCAACTTCTAGGGCCAGGCTCGGTGGCTCACGCCCATAATCCCAGCAGTGTGGAAGACTGACGGGGTGGATCACCTGAGGTCAGGAGTTAGAGACCTGCCTGGCCAAGATGGAGAAACCCCATCTCTACTAAAAGTACAAAAATTAGCAGGGTGTGGTGGCAGGTGCTTGTAATCTCATCTACTCTGGAGGCTGGGGCAGGATAGTCAGTTGAACCGGGGAGATGGAGGTTGCAGTGAGCTGAGATCATGCCATTGCACTCCAGCCTGGGCGAAAAGAACAAAACTCCATTTCAACAAAAATAAAAGCGGGGGAGGAGATAAAGGAAAAGACCCACTCAGCCCACCCCCATGTCCCATTTTTTATTTAAAATGAAAAATATATTTTAATTATTTTTTTCTGAGATGGAGTTTTCACTCTTGTTACCCAGGCTAGAGTGCAATGGCGCGATCTCAGCTAACCGCAACCTCCGCCTCCTGGGTTCAAGCAATTCTCCTGCCTCAGTCTCCCGAGTAGCTGGGACTACAGGCGCGTGCCACCATGCCCAGCTAATTTTTGTATTTTTAGTAGAGACGGTGTTTCACCTTGTTGACCAGGATGGTCTCGATCTCTTGACCTCGTGATCCACCCGCCTTGGCCCAAAGTGCTGGGATTATAGGCATGAGCCACCGCGCCTGGCTAAAAAACACATTTTAAAAAGCCAACTTCTACAATCATGTTAAATTTATAAATTAATGAAAACATGGATTCTACATGTCACATGTTCTTTGATTTTTTTTTTTTTTGAGACTGAGTTTCATTCTTGTTACTCAAGCTGAAGTGCAATGGTGAGCTCTCAGCTCACTGCAACCTCTGCCTCCCTGGCTCAAATGATTCTCCTGCGTCAGCCTCCTGAGTAGCTGGAATTATAGGCACACATCACCACACACAGCTAATGTACTTTTAGTAGAGACAGGGTTTCACTATGTAGGCCAGCCTGGTCTGGAACTCCTGGCCTCATGATCGTCGTCTGCCTTGGCCTTCTAAAGTGCTGGGATTACCGGTGTGAGCCACCGTGCCTAGTCTTTTTTTTTTTTCTGAGATGGAGTCTCACTCTGTGGCCCAGGCTGGAGTGCAGTGGCGCCATCTCTACTCACTGCTACCTCTGCCTCCCAGGTTCAAGCAATTCTGCCTCAGCCTCCTGAGTAGCTGGGTCTACAGTAGAGATAGGGTTTCACAATGTTAGCCAGAATGATTGTGAACTCCTGACCTCAGGCAGTCTGCCCACCTTGGCCTACCAAAGTGCTGGGGTTACAAGCATGAGCCACCTCACCCAGCTAGTATTCTTTAGATATATTTTTTAAACCTTTCTATAGTAATACTTTAGTTTTTTTTTTTAGATGGAGTCTTGCTCTGTTGCCCCGTCTGGAGTGCAGTGGTGCCATCTCTGCTCACTGCAACCTCCGCCTCCTGGGTTCAAGTGATTCTCCTGCCTCAACCTTCCTAGTAGCTGGGACTATAGGTGAATGTCACCATGCCCAGCTAATTTTTTGTATTTTTAGTAGAGACAGCGTTTCACCTTGTGAGCCAGGATGGTCTCAATCTCCTGACCTCGTGATCCACCCGCCTCGACCTCCCAAAGTGCTGGGATTACATGCATGAGCCACCTTGCACTGGCAATACCTTACTTTTAGATATTTGCCACCCAGAGCATCAATTCAAGTTGCCCTGAATCTTTAGGCTTTCAGTTTGCATTTATTGAGTGCTAGGCATTATTCTAAGAACTTTACATGCATTAGTTTATTTAAACCTTAAAAGTATTGAGGTAGGTCACTTTTGATATCTTCGTTTTACAGGAAAACAAAGAAGCAGGGAAGTAATGAACTTGCTCAAAGTTACATAAGAAGTGGCTTATCTGAGATGGAAGTAAGCCAAGTCAGTACTTTCTAGAGGTATCTTCCTCTTCAGATTCTTTTATGATGTATTAAAGTATTTCCATTACGTTTTCCAACTGGTTATAATATATGAAAGCTTCTCCCCACACCTTTATTTATTTATTTATTTATTTGAACCAGGGTCTCCCTCTGTTGCCCAGGCTGGGAGAGTAATGAGGTTTCACTCACTGCAAACTCCACCTCCCAGGCTGAAGCAATCCTCCCGCCTCAGCCTCCTGAGTAGCTGGAACTACTGACTTGAGCCACCACACCCGGCTAATTTTTTGTATTGTTTGTAGAGACAGAGTTTTGCCATGTTGCCCAGGCTAATGCTATTGGTTTCTATATTTGCTGTTCATTCAACATTTTTTGTTTTACTTTAACCTTTTTTTAAAAAAAATTTCAGGCCGGGCGCGGTAGCTCAAGCCTATAATCCCAGCACTTTGTGAGGCTGAGGCAGGTGGATCACGAGGTCAAGAGATCGAGACCATCCTGGTCAACATGGTGAAA